TCTAAATTTCTAATGAGTTACAATGAGTTGAATTAAGAATTAGTTAGGAAATATATATTGAAAATTAAACACTAAATTAGTGCATAAATATTTTTCATTAACTTGGAAGGATTCATAATCTTAAAATACAAAATCAATAATAAAATGCATAATAGATGATTCAAGGTTACAATTTTTTTATTTAAATAATAAACAGAAGGCAATATAACAGTTTAATGGGGTCTTAAAAATATATGGCTCAAAAAAAGAAACAGACTTAAAAATATTATATATAATAGTAATAATCAGAATTGAAAAAGTAAAAATACCTTAAATAATCTAGTAAAGTAAATGTTATTTAAAAGGATGAAAATAGTGATATATTAATAGATTAAATTCATTTGTTTTGGTATTTTATGAACTTTAACGAAAATAATAATAATTATTTTAACAATAAAGGTAAAAAGTTAAATATAGATCTTCAAATTCTTAGATTATGCGATTTCTTAATTGATAGTGATTCTTAAAATGCAGTTTATTCTGATCTTAAAGGTACAAATTAATGATGTATATTTTCTTAACGAATACCGTACGTACAATGAATAGATTTGAAGAAGCATTGGAGTGTTATGATTCAGCTATTCAGAAAAACCCAGAAAATGCAGATTATATTTTGGGCAAAGGTATTAATTAATGTTGCATATTTTCTTAGCGGAAATCTTAAAGAAAATGAATAGATTTGTAGAAGCATTGTAGAATTATGATTCAGCTATTCAGAAAAACCCAGAAAATGCAGATTATTATAATAACAAAGGTATAAATTAATGATGCAAATGTTCTTAGCGATTACATTAATCTCAATGTATAGTTATGAAGAAGCATTGGAGTATTATGATTCAGCTTTTCAGAAAAACCCAGAAAAAGCGGAGTATTATAATTGCAAAGGTATAAAATAACGATATATATTTCCTTAGCGATTGCCTTAGACAACATGAATAGATTTGAAGAGGCATTGATAAAAAATGATTCAGCAATTTAGAAAAACCTATTAAATTCAGAATATTTGAATAGGAAAGGTATATTTAATAATTTAAGTCTTCTAGTTTCTTCTGAGAGATCATTTTGTTAATAACAATACCAATTAGTATTCTAAGATTTCGATTTTGGATCTATACAACAAACCAAGTATTATGTTAATTGATACAATATATATTTTTTTTCATTTAAAATAAGCCTACTGAAAACTTAATTTAGAATTTGTTCTTATAAAAAATAATTACAATATTCATTAATTTATAAATAAACCTTTTTTATTTTTCTCTATTTCAAATCAATGAACTCATCTTCAAGATTCTTATATATGTGTAGACT